TATATACTTACCATTTCACATATTTTTGCAAATCCATCATCCATTAATCTAATCTCCTCATTAGAATCTGCTATCTGGACCATATTATCTGGATAAACTTGAATTAATACCCAGACTAATCTCAATGCAGATAGTCTGACACTCTCATAATCATCTTGAAGGGCCTTACAAACTCTATCATACACTGATATGTCTAACTTCTGACCTCTATCATGAAGAGATAGCTGAAAATAATGGTAATATTTAAATGTGGATTAGACACGTAGTTGTGCACAGACAAACTTCCTCCCTCAGAAACATGCAACTTTCCAAATGCCTCTTACTGAACTTTATTGAGAGACTTACCATGGCATGAAATGCACTAGTCCTGACTCTAGGATCCTGATCTACTGTATATTCTGATAAGAGTTTTTGAATATTTACTGTTCGTTTCTCTTCTGCTTTTCTTGACACTTTTTCCACACTTCCCAGGTTACCTATTAACCCTAGGCATTCACTTCTTACAACATGGTGAGAATTATTCAGGTTCTGTAATTAAAACAATAGAATTAGTAAATAACACTACAAAACACATCATAAACATCGTTACATGGCAACACCTGATATGAGCTGCTTACTCACCTTTCTTGCTGTTTCAACTAGTTTCTGGTGAACTTCATTAGCATATGGTAATGACCTTCCTATCACTGTCAAGGTATTTATCAACTGTGATTTCACTTTGTAAGATTCTGTTATTGAGAAATTTAAACATAATTTATTTCCTGTTTTCATACATTGTTACACATTTGAGTGTGTGCAAAACATTCTCTGCCTCCCATATACCTAGCTGCAGATTCAAATGATATATACAAACAAAAAGAAAACAAAATATGATAAATATTAGGCTGCAGATGCAGTATATTAATCTGTGGAAGTCCATGATTTAGCAGTCTAACAAAATTCACTCAATATTTGGATGCATTTGAAGACACAATGGGGAGGAGGAAATAATGACGTGACATCCTAACAAAAACAACTAGCATGCTTTTGTGTCAATTTAAGCAAAATCGTGGTTAAGCATGTGAAAAGAAAAAGAAAAAGACAATAGAAAGAACATTTACACACTGTGCACTGAAATAAGTCAGCCATTTTGAATCAGGACATGAAACAAATGAATAAAGTATAATAAAGTGGAAAGTTTGCTGGTGTAAGTCACTGTATATCAAAGAGCTGCATTTTGCAATTTTTGCTATAAGTATGTTAAGGTAGCGAGAAGGGTTTTGTGACGTTTTTGAATAAAACATTCTCTGTCTGTTGTCTTGTTTAGAACAGTAATTTAGCTTATATATTTCAAAAGACTAAGTATAGAGGTACAAGTCCACACAAACTAGACAGTCATTGTTTACATAATTATCACGTGACATCAAAATTGGCGAACCTTGTAAAAATGACTAAGTCATGCATTGTCCGTAATCACGTCCATTGAAATGTGTCCCCGGTAATCAAAAGACCTATTATTTTGATTTCTATGCAGGTTTGTTTTTTTGTCCCCAAATTATTTCATACTTGGCACCTTTAACAGACTATTATTCTGTGACAAAGCATTTTCTTAAAAAAACCAGACATATTTCGCACCATCATTATCCTTTGAACGATAACTGCGAGTTTGAATGTCCTAGTCCAAACACACTTGAGTCGTACTCAATCAAAACTTCAACTCGAGAAAAACGCGAAAAA